AGAGTCCCGCCCACTCCCACCTGTTGTACAGAGTCCCGCCCACTCTCACCTGGCTCACAGCATCCCATCAACTCTCACCTGTCTTTCACAATCCCACCCGCTCTCACCTGTTTCAGAGTTCGTTCCATGTCGATGCCCTGATTCCAAGGAGCAGCCGGGTTGGCCAGACAGTCTCCAGCATTGCCTCTGCGAGAGATGTCGATCTTCTGTCTGCGCAGATTCCGAAATGCCTCCGCCATCACTAGCACACCATCGTACGTCAATGATGATGTGTACTGAGGAGGTAAAAGGAATATTGTGTCTTTACTTCATTCACACTACATTACCCATGCTTCCTGTTTACAATCACATATCAAGTATAATGCAGAGCCGTCCTAGTGCCTAAAGTAGATGTAAATGAAGCAGAGAGGGCATTCTAGGTGAGCGCATTGATTATTGCCTCCGCCTGCTCGCTTGTAAGGCTGCGTGCGTAATGCAATGTGACATAAAACTGCAATGTAGCACCGCCGCTACTTGTTACTGGAAAAGCTATTTAGCTGTAAAGCAGTACAGATTGTTGCTACAGAGCAGTAAAGATCCAGAGTGATTGCTGGGGAAAACAGTGCATCGTTTTTCTCTTTATGAGGTACCACTAGCGGTAAGAAAAAAACGCTCAACAATCAAAATGGATTTTCATCTGTTGTTATTTCCATAAACAAATACAAAAGCATGGCTATTTGCATGAGTAAATCGTCCCAATAAGACAGAACGAGTCTCAGTGGCTGGGTCTGCACTGACTCCGGTCGTTATGAATGAACTTGATCAGCGGAAATCAAGATTTATGGTTCTAGCAGAGGCATAATAACATCCAATTAACATTGAGGGAAAGACAGGAACAAACAACAATCATTAAAGGGGGAGTCAGCGAGCGAGATGCAGAAAATCAAGAGCGAGCAGGAGATGGAGATAGTGAGAGCTCTTGCCTGTAAAGTGTGCTCTAATGAACCCGTAAAGATTGGTCTGATGTTGCTCTGGTAATTTATAGCAAGGACTGCAGGATGGAAGTGCTAATCAATGGGAGTAGAGAAGGAGCTCCATGTTATCAACAGAGGGGGAAATCAAGGTTTTTGAGCTGAGGACAGCACGATGAGGTGAGGTTATGCAGCACAAAATCGTCTTAATGAGTATATTTGTCTTGTTTTCTAGTTATGGAGAACTGTAATACATTTTGTGTGGTACCGGTTCACTTGTATTTACGACTAAGAATAGATGTGTGCGAACTGAATTTAGGAACGTGTGAGAATAAGAAAAATTCCAGCAGGTCCTTAAAATGTCTATAAAATTTAGTTGTATTAAATTTAAGGTCATAAAAAGTCTTGAATTAAAATATCTTAGTCTTAAAAATATCTTAAATGTTATAACAAACATCTTAATAATCATATTAAGAGGTCTTAAATTTGAGGATAAAGAACAGGAGTTGATTAGTAAACTTTTAAATGTATTTATAAAAATACATTTTGCTTAAATATACTCATATTACTTTTTATTACTTTATTTTTTATTATTTAGTATATAATATGTTTTACTAAAATTTAAGAGAGAAAATAGAAGAATTAGAGCAAATCAGTACTTCTGAATAATTTACTGCCATTGTGTAAATAATATGTAATCATGTAACCTATAAAAAAGTAACTGTCTGATTATAATAACTTTGCAATTTAATAGAATCTTAATTTTTGGAATCTGATTACATAATCCAGATTACATGTAACCAGTTACTAACCAGCACTGTATGTGTGTGTGTGTGTGTGTTTATATATATATATATATATATTGTTTTTTTTCTTCGTATATAATTTGTTTTATTTTTATTTTTAGTATTAATATAGTTTATTTTAAATTATATAAACTCTTTGTGTATGTATGTATGTATGTGTGTATGTATGTACAGTGGGTACGGAAAGTATTCAGACCCCCTTAAATTTTTCACTCTTTGTTATATTGAAATGGCTGCAATATAACAAAGAGTGAAAAATGTAAGGGGGTCTGAATACTTTCCGTACCCACTGTATATTATAATATTCAGTTTTTTAAATTTTTCATGTTAATATAATTTACTTTAAATGGTATACAATAAATATAAATACATAATTATTAAATACAGTTTGAAGCTAAAATATAAAAAAATATTTTAAATTTTTTTATTTTAATAAACTATTAATGTTTTTGCTTTCATTGTATCCCTTTATAAAGGAAAAACACATTATTTGATCAATTTTAATTGCGTCCCTTAATGTGAATTTGTCTCTTGGAAATGAAACTAGAATGCTAGAATGGTTTCCTAGTCTTCAAAACACAACTTAAAACATGTATTTACTTGTATTTAGACTTTATTACACACGTTCCCCAACAGACGTGTTAAATGTGGCTCCGGCTGCAGTCTGTCATGGTTTAATTGACTCAAATATTGCCTGGGCAGCTGCTTGTTGAATCTCATTGGCTAAAGCTTGACGAAGAATGTGTCCTGTCACAGTTTGATTGGCTGAACATCTGTGTCTGGAATTCTGCCACATGCGTCCGACAGGATTATCAGGGTTCCAACCTGATTTAAACCAACCTACCATTTGCCGGCCGATTTCCAAACATGCTGTTTGAGTAGATAAGGAATTATTCTGCTAATTGATTCAATGGCGTTTAGCACAGATCTCTGAGCACGTTTGCGCTAATTCCTTTAGTGAATTGGGTGCTGAAACAATGCAGAAAAATAAAGTGTGCACAAAAGTGTTTGCTACTCTGGTTTATTGGTGTTTGCATTTGTGTTTAATTATGTTGTAAATGTATTTGCTTACCCTGGGTGGGCTCTCGGATCCTGGATACTCCCGCTGGTCTAGTTTGTTCCAGCGCTGCATTAGTTTGATCACCATCGGTTTGCTGAAATCCACCAGCTGGAAACCAGTTACGTTTGCCCCGCCGTGCATAAACCTCTCAAGAGAAATGTCCTTAAATCCCTGCAGAGAGAAAGACAGAGAGCAGATCAGAGTCAGAGCGAATGCAGCCGATTCATTCAAAAGATAAAGAGGTGGAAAAAGGGAGATTGATGGAATGAATGTGAGACGGAGTGAGTTTTAACATTTCTTAATATCCCAGATGCTGACGCTAACAAATGTCAGCGCAGAATACGTTACAAAGGCCCAGCACAAAATAAGAAACGATAAATCACACGTAACAAAGTTCAGGTTCAGCAGTCCATCATAGTCAGAGTCTCCAAAACTGAACAAGACTGCAAATTCCTTCAGACTAACTAACAGTTCAGATTAATTTATCATCCATATTGAGTTTTACAGTTTCTGAGAGGTGCAAAACTCATCTTCGTGTTGCTAGGGTGTTTTGGGTGGTTGCTACGTGATTCGCACCAATTAATTAGAGAAAGATAAATACAGATACATTAAAAAAAGTTGTGAGAGGTGCAGTGTTGCCGGGGCATTGATTTATGGTTGCTAAGATGATCTGAGTGATGTTTAGTTTGTTGCTATGTGCTTAGGGTGTTTGAGGTGGTTGCTAGGTGGTCCAATCAGATTAATAAGAGAACAATTCAAACAAATACATAAAAATTATATTAAATGAATGAATGAATTAAATGATATTCAAATAAATTCGATATTTAAAAAAAGAATTGGAGAATTGGACTTAAAAATACATACAAAGTTTTATATTAAATGCATTAAAATGTATTACATTATATTAAATAGATTATATTAAATTAATTAAAATTATATATAACAAATTTATGAGAGAGGTACTTACAAATACATAAAAAGTTAATTAAAATTCATTACTTTATAATACAAAATTATATTAATTAAAATACATTTTAGATAAAAAAATAATTCCAAAAAGATGTGTTGCTATGGTGTTCTGGGTGGTTTCTTAATAAACAAACTAAAAAAAAGTTTTGCGTCCTCAAGTCTCTGTTTGCATTCTGTAGGATTTTACATGTGCAGGATCATCCAGCAGGTGAAAATGCTGTGTTTGATCACTTAGTAAAGCACTAGCGCACTTCATTTGAGCAATCGTTGTGCCAAAAGTAATACTGCGTTCTGGTTTTCTTCAGGAAAGTGAAGCTCTGTCAGAGAATTACAGCCAGAGGACACGCTGTTCATTTCCTCCAGCGCTCCATCAAACCGCGCCAGCACTCACCATGTTAGCGATGATGTAGTGGTATCCTTTCACATGTTTGCCCACGCTGACAATCTGAGAGAGAGAGATAGAAATATATGGATTGAGTAAACAGTAAATATCACAAAGACTCTTTTATTACACGCTTCAGTAATTCAGCCAACAGATGTATTACCTATACTTGGAAAAGTGTATATAAGTAAGTATTTTTTTTACAGAGTTTAGGTTCCAAGACATTGTGTGCATTTCAGAATTGCTTTCCTGTGAATATGAATTTGTGTTACTGTGGCAAAATATCACAAAGACTCTTTTATTACACGCTTCAGTAATTCAGCCAACAGATGTATTACCTATACTTGGAAAAGTGTATATAAGTAAGTATTTTTTTTTACAGAGTTTAGGTTCCAAGACATTGTGTGCATTTCAGAATTGCTTTCCTGTGAATATGAATTTGTGTTACTGTGGCAAATAGGATGCAGAATTGCAGTTCAAATTTGAATGAAAGTAGAAGGAGAATTGATTTTTAACAATAACTTACAAACCTTTAAAGGCAGACCTACTGTGAGGTTGTTAATCGATGGCATATGCTTTTATTGAAGCCATCAGTCTGCATTATTTTAACTTATGTTTGTAAATAATTGTGTTCAACAGCGGAATTCCTGGTAAGAAACTACATTACCCATAATTCTGCAAACTCTCCACCAATTAGAATTGAAGCAAGTAAATCATGTCAAAAGAACGCTTTTGTCATGCTTGAAGTGGACTTTTTCACTGGACGAAGCAATATTATGGATTATGGACTAGCCAGAAGCAATGGTTTGAATTAAAAATTAAAAAAGTTAAAAATATAGCATTCCATCACTTGCTCACTAATGGATGCTCTGCAGTGAATGGGTGCCGTCAGAATGAGAGTCCAAACAGCTGATAAAAACATCACAATAATCCACAAGTAATCCACACCACTCCAGTCCAGCAGTTAATGTCTTGTGAAGACAAAAGCTGAAACAAATCCATCATTAAGACATTTTATCTTCAAACCGTTGCTTCTGGTCAAAATACGAGTCCATAATTCATAATAACGCTTCATCCAGTGAAAAAGTCCATCTCCTGCTGTCTCTCACATATTTGTTTAGAGCTGTTTTGGCTTGTAAACGGTGCTTGATCTGTGCAGATTTCTCTCCTGATTCAGACCAGAACACTTTTTCACCGGAGGAAGCGTTATTATGGATTATGGACTTGGTTTGAAGTAAAATAACATCTTGATGGATTTGTTCCAGCTTTTGTCTTCTCCAGATGTTAACTGATGGACTGGAGTGGTGTGGATTACTTGTGGATTATTGTGATGTTTTTATCAGCTGTTTGGACTCTCATTCTGACGGCACCCATTCACTGCAGAGGATCCATTGCTGAGAAAGTGATGCAATACTACATTTCTCCAAATCTGATGAAGAAACAAACTCATCTACATCTTGGAGGGCCTGAGGGTGAGGATATATTCATCAAATTTTCATTTTTGGGTGAACTATTCCTTTCAGGAAATTGTCTTTTTCAAATGTGTTTTTAAATCAAAATTTAACAATAAGCGATATCTTTTGCTGGATGTGAGATTTGTCTAGTGTGTAAGTGGTATCGGTGTAAGATCAGCAGATGCTGATGTCAGATCCACATCTGCTCGAGGAACTTGCTGGCAGGACTGGCAGGGCATGTAGAGAAAACATTCTGTTGATGTTGTACCTGACTATGTCCAACTGCGAGACGGTGTGTGTGTGTGTGTGTGTGTGTCGTACTCATGCCGTTCTTCAGTGGAGAGATGAGTTCTACACCCGCCCGCGGCACATGCAGGGCTGTGGTGTCTATGTAATAACTCCGCCCACTGTTGCTCTCTTGCTCCGCTCCCATGTCAGGTGACCCCTCCTCTTCAGCGTTCACTCCTATAGTGGTAGGGAAATCTGCCTACACCGCAAACAGGAACCAACAGTAACCAATGATAATCATGTGATGTTCAGTACAGTCAGACTCTAGGTACTCCAGACCTTCAGGACGATTCTCAAAGCTTTGGGTTTATGGGTCGATCATGTCAGATCAGTTTATTTATACAATATAGATTGTTTCAAAGCAGCCTTACAGTAATAAGTCCTCTGCACAATCTGACTTTGTTGCAGCCTGGAATTAAACTGATGGTCTCGTCTGGCCAGAGGAGAACAGAACACTATTTCGACACACTATTTTTCCCTGTTTAATACTGTAAAGCTGCTTTGACACAATCTGCATGGTAAAAAGTACTATATAAATAACGGTGACTTGACTTAATAAACAGGAAAAGAAGATTGTTCATGTTGCAAAATTCATCAGTTATGAAACTAATTCAATTTCAGCTGTAAAGCAGCTCTACAGGAGATAACAGTCATTATTCAGATCAACTCAGATCACGTTTTGTTCTCATCTGATTTAAATTGAAAGTTAAATTGATAATATTACTGAATAATAGTTTGATGGATGATGATGATGAATGGAAATATGAATAAAAGGATGATGGATGGATGATAGATAGATGGATGGATGGATGGGTGGATGATGGATGGATGGATGATGGATGGATGATAGATAGATGGATGGATGGATGGGTGGATGATGGATGGATGGATGATGGATGGATGATAGATAGATGGATGGATGGATGGGTGGATGATGGATGGATGGATGATGGATGG